GCGCCCCACCCCACACTCGTCGAGCAGATCTCTTCGCAAGTCTCTACCACACCGATCCCGAGCCGGGCTATTTCTCTGTGCCCCCCCCCCATCAGGGATCCGAGCTACTACGAGTCGCAAGCTCGTTTAAACGGAGAAGGGAGAGTCGGACACTCCGTAGCGCTGTGCCATCGGCAGTTCCTCTTTTTGTTGCTGTTGTTGTTTTTGCTGGACCATCGGACCGCGGTCTCTGCCCGACAGGCGCATTGCACTACAGGTACGTACCCTAAATCATCATCAGCCAACCATCTCGCGATGGTAGCGGTCATGGAGCATTTTCATTGGACTGTTGGCTTTCGCTAAACTACAGACACGCGCTTGCGCTCAACACGGTCCCTCGGAAGACAACTCTAAGTCCATTCCGGCACTCAACATCGGAAGACAACTCCAAGTCCATTCCGGTACTCTTAACGCTTAGCGTCCATGACCCTTGCACCATCTTCCTGTGTCTTGGTCGATAAAGTAGACCCAAGACTTCCGACAATCAACCAGACCATTAATTGTAACATCTCAATTAGAGTCATCTGCAGTTTGAATAGAGTACTATAACAGATATGCGAACTCCCCGCAGGACACAGGGCATCCACGGTAAAACAAGACGTGACTAAACTACACAAAGCCAACACATCTCTTAACTGGATCACCAGTAAACTCATCGTAAAACCCTTTTTAGGAAAAATTGAGAAGGTTGATCCAGTGCCACTTGTCCACACTCATATGTATAGAATATAAACGCAAAACATATAATGTCAGTAAGCCCCGCGCGAAAATATAGAAAACATACCGAAGTTGATCGAGTGTGCACAGCTGCTGAGAGTAGAGGCATAAACACAACTAGAGTAAATGAATATGAAGAAGCTCAACCATTTTCTTCAAAGTTTGAGGCGACATTATTTTTGTGAGCAAGTCCGTAGGCTGATTGCATGATCGCACATGTGACAAGAAGACAACATTAAGGTCAATTAGTTCGCGCACATGATGAATTTTCAAGTCAATGTGCTTATTCTTTGCAGATATCTGCGGGTTGGACGCCAACGACTGTGCAGCTGT